TTTTTCCTCGTTCTAACTTTCCTATCTTTTTCGCATTTGCAGATTGCGATGAAACAGTCTCATGAAATGTTGACTTTGACGTTTTATTGCTTTCATTTGTGTCCATTTTAATCTGAGAATTAGTAGTTGTGGCAGATTCCATGTTAGAAATATTATTCTCTGCTAACAAACAATCCATTGAGTCATCTTTTTCACGTTGCACATCTGCTGTTGGAATAGATAACTTTTTATTTACTATAGTAGAAACAGGCAAGTCATCTTCACTAATTTCTTCTTTAACCACGTTAATTAATTTTTTCTTTATTGGTTTTTTCTTGTTCGTAAGTAACTGTTTGACAAAATTGTTACATGTATTATCCCAACTAAAATCTAAAAGACTTCCGGCACTAAAATCCTCCGTTAAACCAGATATGGACGGCAACTCTATGTTTGAAACGGGAACAGAAGGTTCTTCCTTTATTACAGTAGGAAGTACTGATATTATCGGCGGTGTGGAGTCTGTATTTTCAATTGGTGGATTGAAAGTAAATCCTTTAAGTTCAGCTTTCGTTCTAATTCTTGCAGCAAAGTTAGTTTCTGTTTTTACTGGAACTGGTGGCGTAATTGGTATGGGAACAACATCTGAAGTTGGCGTTACAGGCTCCTCTTTAAAAACTATGTTTTCATTAACAATTGGTATATCTATATGGTTAGGTGGTAGTGGGTAATTTGTAACTTCAGCCTGGATAGACTTTTCAGCTGTTTTACTTTTTTCGTTTTCTAAAGACTTCTCATTAACCGCAATAACAGATATATCTGCAGAACGCATATTTTCGAATTTTGAATACGGTTCTTGATATCGCGGTTGTTTAGAAACTGGTTCAACATAGTTCAGATTGGAATTAGAGTATTCATGTAAATGACGCTTCCTTCCCAAATAATTGCGATTTAGTTCACATGCTTTATGATAATTCGATTGTGTTGCAGGTTCAACTTTTTTATCTATTGGAGGTATGCCTGGATTCGAAGGTGGACCAGTTACTACAGTCTTTGGTAAAGGCATAATACTAGTATCTGGTGGTAATTTATCAACTGCAAACATATTTCTTTCCGAAATTTTCGGTTCACTTTTTATACTTTTAACAGTTGCAAAAGGATTTGTTTCCAGTACACTTGGGCGTACTTGGCATATATTTACATCACAACTAACAACGGCATTTGTTGTTGATTTTATTACAAGAGAACCGGTTTTCCGCTGTAAGTTAGCTTTTGAAGTCAATGCCGGCTCATTTGGTATTACAGCACTTCGTGGATTTGCTTTATATTGGGTTGAGTTGTTAAATATTAGTGAATTACTTTCATTATATTGCTTTTTAGGCAAAGGAGTTTGTTCACCTCGCGGCACAGTCATGGCAGGAATGTGACTTAAGTCTGCTGATGTGTAAGTAACGCACTCATTTTGTTCCATTCGTGAATGTCCATTTGGTTTTATAATAACATTTCTATCAGAAGCATGCATAGAAAAATTAGGTGTAAAATCTACTCTTGGCAAACCATATTTGCAGTCAACGCTTGGAGAACTTGACGAATAACATTTGTATTTGTATTCAGTGGAATCAGCCTTTGTTTTCACTGTACGCATAGAAAGATCCAGGGGGGAATAATTAGATATTTTTTCTTCTTGTTTTATTACTGGTGGTCTTATATTTGAAATTATAGGTCCAACCGGTGTTCTCGCTTGTGATTGCATATGATGTGGTAAAAGATCTGGACGATACGTTTCGTTTCTATATGTATCTGGTGCCGGCGATATATTTGGTTGATTGTTAACTACATTTACAAGATGCGGTGAACTTTGTTGAACTCTATCAACTTGTGCTGCTGCTCTTGGAACATTATTGACATTAGTTCTTATAACTTGGGTATCAACATTTAGAGTTTTTTTTATAATTTGTAGATTAAGTTCCTCCTCAGGTATATTACGCCTTGCGTAAGCCTGATTAATTAATTCTTTATAGTTGGGTTTTGGAACATGAGATTTCTTGGGTTGTTGGGCTGTTTGTACTATTCCGGTAGTTTGATTTGGTATTGCTGGAATATTATTAGGGCAATTTATTTTAGACTTCTGCGAAATTGGCAAATCATATGCATCGATGTGAGAAGGAACATTGTCTTGCGTTTGATTGGAGTGTCGTCGATTTTCAATAGCGGCTGATTGATAAGACTGCATTCGATGTGATGGTGAAGTGTATTCATTGTGATGTGGTGTTTGAGTTTGTGGTGTAGATAATATTGATGATGGTGATGCTACGGTAGCCACTGCTGGAGATGGTGTGCCATATGGACTTCCATCATATTTACTGGAGGTTTCATAATAATATTGCTGATTTCGAAAACTAGGTGTTCTACTTAGCGGTGGAGTATTTTGATTAACATTTATGATCTTATTTGCTACATCAATTTCTTGAGTTGATTTACTATATTTATTGTAACTGTGCGGTGATTCGTCACGATAATGAGATATAGACAAAAAAGGTGATGAAGATTCTTTATAGCAACTATCAGAAGAAGGTGGAGTGTTATAAGGATTTATATATAAATTTCGATTTGGTACACCAAGACTGTCACACAGATCATCTTCTTTTTTAACATAATCTAAATCATTTGTTGATCCTCTTAATGGTAATATGTGTGAAGTTGGTGGTGGTGGTGGTACGGTACAGTTAGAATACTGATAAGCAGCATGAGGAGATTGCTTTGCTATGATGGGTGACATTTCCGGCGCATGCACCTTGGGATTGTTCTGTGGAAAATAATCAATATTTCTTGATTGACCATTATTAGATCTATAAGGCGTTTGTTGTTGCATTATATTTGACTGAACTGGCTGCAACAATTCATTACTTGGATATTTGCTTTTATTTGCATTTGTATAACCAGTCATTGGAGATGACAAACGTACTGGACTTTCTGACAATTTTGTTTTTTCTGACATTATGTGTTTTTGTACTGTCGTATTATTCAATGTTCTATATTCGTGCTGTGGTGATTCCATGCGTAATTTTTGATTATGAGCATTGATGAATTTATCTGAACTAAATTGAGGGGTTGGCATATACAAACTCATATGTGTAGAATTTTGTTCTGCAGGTGAAAATATTTGTGGACATTTTCGAGCATAATTAGGACTTGGATGTTGTTCCTTTGTAGAAAGGATATTACTAGGATTAATTACTTGTTGATCAGTTTTGCCAGAACGAAGTACACCACCTGTATTGTTATTGTGATTATCTATATTATATATTGATGCTGCAGAAGTAGCTGAGGGCATGTAGGATATTTTGACTTCACTCTTAGGTGTATATTCGTTGTAGGAACGTTCCTTACAGTAAGTACTAATCGAATTTGCACGTTGATGATTAGGTATACCATCAGATTGTTGATATTGTTGCTTATAACTATAATTTGTATCAGTTGTGGAAGGCTTAACTAAGATATTTCTGTCCATTTGTGGAACAGCAGTCGAACAATTTTGTTGCCAGTATGCATTATTATTGCCACTTGAGTTGATATAAAGTGGATTTTGTTTAATTGCACCTTTTGTATCAATATTCCTTATATCTGATCTTGATATATGTTGAGAACCCCAACCACCATCTTCAGTGGTTGTATTAGTTCTACATTCATTGCACATTATATTGCCTGGCATGCTTGAACACGCACATGCCTTGTTATTGCCTATTGTTCTCTCCGGTATAAAATATTGTCTGTGATGTCTTGATTCATTCATATTCATTCCCCTGTTGTAGTACATTGCTCTAGACCTATCTTCATTGGTTTCAATGAATCCATGTTGTTTATTTAAATCCATATTTATCTAAAAACAAAGATAAAAAATAATTTTTTGTAAAACGCTTCCTTTAAGGTATAATAAAGTAAATTATAAATGTATTTACAAAGCGAAAACAAATGCACATTCATGTGTGCTTCCTCAAGATTATATACATATATACATACATCGAAATTTATTAATAAGATAAGATTATTACAATAAAGTACGTCAAATTAATTAATTTGATGTGATTTTCTCAAATAAATAATTTAATATATTAAAATATTTTTTTTTTATTTTTAAATTATTTTTTTGGTAGTGTATTTACGAAATTGAATAAAATTCTGAGTGTATTTATAATATCGATTTAATAAGGTGAAAGAAGTTATATTATCATATATTAAATAACTTATATACTGTAGAATTAATAACACAAAAATATACATTAAACTTGAATGATATTGTCTACAAAGTTAAAATGAACATTCTTTATTGTTCTAGTTATCATATCATATTACTATCAATTCAAGCATGGAGACAGTCTGTCTCTATATTTTTTATAAATGGATTGTGAAACAACACATAGTATTTAAAATAAAGAAGATTTGTTAAGCAAAATTTATTTAATTTTTAATTGATGCACTACGATAGCACAATGGGACTATAGGCCTAAGTGGATCTCGCTCAAATCGCCGGTGTAACCTAATCTAACCCTAATTGATGTACTAAGTAAAATAATAGATATAAATAATCTTTATCAAATTAATATAATACCAATTGAATTACACAACTAAATAGATGTAGTTTAAATTCACTTTGGGATGTGGTGGTATAATTCACCCAAAGAGGTACTATTTTTAAAATCTGTGTATATAAGAGCATTTGGGGTATTGGTAAATACATTGATATTTATTTTAAAAGTTAATAAAGTATTAAACCAATATCATAACACTCTTACGTTTTATAAGATACTGTATTACTCAGGTTTACTTATGCACATCATTAAGGACAACAATTTTATATATAATTGAAAATCATTATTATTACTATTTGATATAGATGGTTTTTAATAGATCAGATATAAAAAATAAGCATTAGCTGCTATGAAAAATTTGATTAACTTTGCAAATAATAATAATATTACATAAATTATTATTTGTAAATGTTGTCAGCTTAGTCCCTTTTGTAAATCTCTGATTACATCAACGTAAATAATAGGTTAAATTCAAATGGGTTGACATCATTTGACCGGTTGTAGTCCTTGATATAAGACCTACTAAATAAAGTTTCTTAAGTTGTGTTGTAATTGAAATTTGAAGATATTTTTTAAAACTAATTTGTTTTGCTGTCTTTTAAATTACTTTAGCGAGTTGTTACTAAAACGAAATACGTATATCACAGACAAAGTAAAATAGATTTTGTTATAAAGATAGCAAATGAATTAGTAAATATATTGAAATTCACAATTATCGATTATATTTATAATTTATAAATACAGTCGAGTTATTTATATCGTTTTATAGCAAAAAAAAAAAATTTCAAAACATTGTTGCACATTTCAATAACACATTAAAGATTATATATTTAATTTCATTTTTATTATATTTTATATATATAAAATAAAGGAGGTTTTTCGAATAGTAGTGAAATATGACAACAAAAATTCATTTTATATCATTTTAATTAAATGAATCATCAGTGGTCTTGGAAATAATTCTTATATATAATTATTCGTAAATAATTTTTTGAGACTGCAGGTACCAGGAATTGAAGTCGTGTCCTGCCAAATTTGAAGCTCAGAGTCAGCGCACCTTAACCAACTGACCCAAAACCGTACTTGACTTCTATGTTTGCACATTTTTTTCAGGAATTTTATTGATTTGCTGTGAAAGTTTTATTAACAAATTCATTTGCTGTGTTTATTTTAGAATGAAATCATAAACCAGGGCCCTGTTGCACCAACACTTTTCACTTTTCACTTTGCAAATTTTTATGAGTTTTTGAGCATTTTTCTCTCATTGAGAACATAAAGCATTAATTTGAGAATTGAGTTATGCAAAGTTTTGAAAACACTCAAAAAATGCAAAGCGTTGCACCAATGTACTTTTCAATGAAAAGTAAAGTATGAAAAGAAAAGTGAAATATTTGACAAAAAACTGCTTTCTTTGGACTTTCTGTTGCACCAACACTTTTTACTTTGCGCTTTGCAAAAGTAAACTGCAAAACTTTACAAAAAAACTGCAAATGATTAATTCACTTTGCAAATTTTGCAAAGTGATTTCTTTCAATGCGTAAAATGAAAGAAATCATTAATAAATAAATAAAAATAGTTTTAAAAAAATAGAAATTGAAAATTAGTTGAAGCAAATATTATTGCTGTTTTTGAAATAAATTTAGTTGCAATAATTAAAGGGATATATTACCGGACAATACTTTTAAATTGTGAATTAAAGAGTTCAGTTTCTAAAAAAAACTTATAATACATTTAAAATAGATATTTTATGTGAATTATTGTTTAAGCATGAACACTTATTTATTATAATGAGCAGTTTATTATTATTATAAGTCTGTTATCGTTCAAATTCTCCGAATTATGAACCAAGAAAAAACATGGGTAAAAAATATCCTATAATAGCTAACATTGTAACATTTTTAAATATCTAATTATCCGTATCTAATTATGATAATAAAAATGTATTTCTAAAGACAATAGAAGAAAAAATCACAAGTGCCTGGACTTGCGTCGTTTTTTGAACCTTGTTTGAAATGTAATTAAAAATAATATAGTTCACTAAAATTAGTGATAACAGACAACATATTATTTTAACGTTGATAGTAAAATTAGTTAAGTTAGTTTTAAGGTAATTTTGTATAAATTAAGAAAAATGTTCTAAATAAAATCAATAATTTAGGCCCTTTATGCGTAGGTTTCTTTTGTATTAGGATAATACACAGCGACAAGTAAACAATACTTTAATAACTTATAATATTTTAAAATTAAATAATAATGACAGATTTTCAACTAAATTTTTATATAAAAGCAACTTATTATATTTGTTAACTTTGTTTTTCAATATAATTGTTGTTAAAACAACTCATACTCCTTACATATAAATTCTTTTTCTATAACTTTTCAAACAGCAAAATAAATTAAAAGTATAAAAATTGTCTCTATGGATATACACAACTTCTTTATCTAGGATTCAATGTCAATAAAAGAAATCATATACAAAAATTTTGTGTTTTGTTTTATGTATAACATATAATTGTACTAAAATTATACAAATATTACAAATTGTAATAATATAAATTATTAAAATAAAATATTATTTAAAATACTTTTATTTTAAACAAAAATTAAACTCATAAGTACATACTATGCATAAATCATGTACTCATAGCATCAAAATATCAAACAAACAAAAAACAAGTATACATACAGAATCGAAATGCTTTCAAAAACCAATACAAAATGAAAGTGATCTAATTTTTTGGTGCAACGCTTTGCTTTGCATTTTATGCAAAGACTTTGCAGTCAAATTTTTATTTGCAAAGTGCAAAGTAAATTATGTTAAGTCTTTGGTGCAACGCTTTTCACTTTTACTTTGCAAAAAAAAAGTCACTCATAAATTTTGCAAAGTGAAAAGTGAAAAGTGTTGGTGCAACAGGGTCCAGCTGTAAAATAATTGAATTAATTAATTATTTTTTTATTTTTAATTGTTAAATTTCAGAATAGTACTCTTTGTAGAGGCGTTATTTGTTGCATAATTTATATTTATATAAATCTTTAGAAATTGTAATACTTATAAAATTTTTAAAAATTTTACTTTGGTGCAAAATAATGGAAAAAACGACAAGCGTTGAATTAAAGCCAAAATAACTAGTTACATATTTGGCTCTAACAAAATCTTAAATATATCAATGAATTAGAATTATATTTAAATGAGACTTTAAATAAATCATGTGCAACTCAAGTGTAGAAAAACTACAAAGACTACAAAACAAAATCCCCAGGCACAGACTGTAAATAATCCGTGGTATGTGAATAACTTCATTTTTCAAAGGGATCTCAATATACATGAGGTATCTGATGTAAGGTATTGTATTATTTGAAACTAGTTACGCATTTAAACACTGTTTATCACCAACCCGGCATTTTACCTTAGTAGGAAAAGTAACTGCTTAACCCGTAGCAAGTATGTAATATAAACTTAGATTTCTTTAATTAATATCTTAAAGAGCATTCTCTATCCTCAACTAGTTTTTAAGATTTGATATTACTTATTCATAATTTCATTTAGAAAGATTCAATAAAGCATATAATTGACAAAAAAATATAATGAGACAAAACAATTTGCAACATCATTAAAAGAACAATAATTAAATAATAAAAAAAAAAAGGGAACAATGCTCCCAAATCTATGTGACATAACAAATTTAACAAATGTTTTATTTTACTATAAATTAAAACCAGGCCTTCGGACCAGAACTGACCTCGAAAACCGAAAGAAAACAATATTTTTTTATCAGGTTTTTAAATACATTTGGTTGGTTGCAAGTAATGAATTTTTGGATCTATAATGTGCATTTAGTTATAAAGGAGATTACAGGTATTTTCGAACAAAGTCTTTCCAACGATTAACACAGAGAGAATTTTTGAATCTGTAATGTGCATTAAATTAAAAATGAGATTACAGGTATTATCGAACAAAATCTTTCAACGATTAACACAGAGCCAGATGGAAGGTCTATAGATGTTGAAGATTTGAATGTCTATTTTAAATCAGTGATGTCCACTATTTCTGCATACACAAAGTCAAAAGTAAATAAAATCAAATTTATTATAAATCCCAAAAAATATTTGAAATTGTAATTTGCTAATAAAGAGTATAAATTATACTGCAATTTTAAACCTTTTAAAAATGTTTTCATATAACGCTTTTGTGCACCAAGAACTAATAACAAAAGTTATTAGGGTTTAGTCATAGTTCCTTATAATGAGACGGCACAGCTTCACATGTAGCATATGACAATTGTGCGAAATC